TAAAGGGTTTTATAAGTTCCATTTAAATGCTGAATAATATTTTCGAGCAAGAATATAAAGATTCGCAATTCGTATTAATTCATTTTTTTCTATTTTTTAAGTAAAAGATCCTTCGATTATATTATAATGAATATTTTTAATAAAGCATTTATTTCCGAATCAAAAGCTTCCGAATTATTATTAGGATTTAAACGTACGTTTTTTTTCGTTAGCTAAAAAAATTTGCGCATTTATTTGGTATTAGGAATATTCGTTTTGGCTACGCGTTTTTTATTTCGAATAGCGCTCGATCGTATAAGGGCTATCGGTTCGCTTTTTTTTACGATAATGGTGCTTTTTATATTTTTTTTTTCGGATATGATGTAACGAGAATTTTATATTTTGCCGAAGCTTTTATTTTAAGCATTAATATCGCCCTTATTTATTCGAATAGCATTTAAGCGGGATAAATCCGTAGTTAACGGCTTTTTATCGAAATTACTTATTATATTTATAGGCTAATTCTTAACGTTTATTTTTTCCGTATATGGATTGTTTTCGAATACGTTGCCGTAAGCAATAATTAAATTTTCGGCCGATTTTTTAGTTTCGTAATTATTAATGGGTAATTCCGGAAAAAAGATTAAAAGTTTTTTACGAATTATATTTTAAAAGAGCTCCTTTATTTTCGAATTTTAATTTATCGGTTGGCTATTTAGTATTTCTTTTTCGGAAGGAGGCTTATTTTTTAGCTATAATTTTAAAGCTTTTTTATCCAATTGGTTTTACGTATCGAAAGTTTTTAATACAGTTTTATAAGGATTTATTTTTATAAATTAATGGAAAACATCGGCGATTTCTTAAATGATATCTTTCGAAAGCGCCTTTGCCTTTTTTTTTTCCGATATATAGAAGATCCTTTTTTTAAAGGTAATATTGCGCGTAATAATAATTTAATTCAGCTTTGGTATTTAAATTCTTTAAAGATTTGTTATAACGTAATTTATTAAATATCCGATATAAGCTTTTGGCTAGACTTTATATGTTCGTTTGTTTTAATAAGCTTATTTGGCTTTATTTAAAAAATACGCTTTGCAGCCATAGACAAATATAAAGCCCTAATTAGGACGGAAATCGGCTATAAGGGATTTCGTAATTTCTGGGCTATATTAACGAAAATACTTACGGAACCATTAATCGAAAACCTTTAAGAAAAAGTGCAGCTAATAAGCGTTATTCGGGCTTATATTATATAGTTATGCAGCTGTATATATAATTTCGGGCCAAAGCTTTTGAAATAAGTTTAAGGAACTTATTATCGCAATAATGCGTTTAAATAATATATTTTTAATTCGTTTTATTCCTTTATTGGGTTTTTTGGTATAAAGTGGCGTAAGTTCGCTTTTAATATTTTTTTTTATACCCATTTTTCGAATTCCGAAAAGCCTTTAAGCGCAATCGTTTTTATATCGTTGTTTTAATAAATAATGCAAATCGCAAGCCTAAAACGGCGTTATATCCAGTTCTTAAAGTTCTTTTAAATCTTTAAGGCGGTTTGTAGTTGCCGATTTTTCGTAAAAAAAACCTAAAGCGTAATATTATATTCGTTTTTAATTATCATGAAATTAATGGAGCCATCGTATTCTTTAGGAAATTCAAATCAATTTTACGAAATACGGTAAAACGGTTTATAAAATCGATTTTTAAATGGGATGCGAATAATTATACGCTTGGCCTTTATTTGCGTATAATGCTTATAATTAATAGTTTTCGTTTTATTAATTTTTATTTTTCTGGCGTTTTTAACGAGCGCTTTAAAAGTACGAGCATTTAAATGTTTAAATCGTATTGTTATAAAGAAGCAATTAAGCCATTAATCCCTTATAATATGTTAAAAGATCTGTAGCTGCGGAGGTATTAACTTTGCAAGTTATTGGCATATATGAGGGGTAATTGGATGACGTAGCTAATAGTGGAGTGGTATATAGGTTGTTTACCAGCTATTAGGCTGTTACGTAATATATGCCACCGACGGAAAGGATAGTACGTACCGTTCTCGGTCGGAAATCTCCCAGCTGATTTCCTGCCTAAAGTAAGAAGTAGCTATAAGTGCTGCTATGCTTAATTGACGTTCCGCTATTGTAACGTATAGCTACGATAGGGGTCGCTTAGAATGGACGGCACCTGATTATCCAGAACATCCCTACGGGCAAGTAGGGGGGCTCTTTTGCGCTGTAAGCCGCGCTCGGTCGAGGGATCGAATTATAAGCACCTGAAGGCCAGGACCTATGGGAAATGCTACCATTTGTTGCAAAAAAGCAATTGAGCCATTGATCCCTTATAGTATGTCAAAAGATCTGTAGCTGCGGAGGTATTAACTTTGCAAGCTATTGGCATATATAAGGGGTAATTGGATGACGTAGCTAATAGTGGAGTGGTATGTAGGTTGTTTACCAGCTATTAGGCTGCTACGTAATACGTATGTATTACAGAATTTCCGAATTTATTCGAATACGCAAATAGGTTACTAAAGGCTTCCGTAATGTTCTTTTTTCTTTATCGATCGTTAAGGGAATTATTATGCCGTTAAGGCTTATTAATATCTCGTTTAGAATGTTTATATAAGAAAAAAAAAACTTATATTTAAGGAAAACTAAATTATAAATACGCTTAAGCTAAATAAATAGGAATCCAGGCTTTTTTTTTCTTTATTTAAGAAAGCAATCCAAATTATTATACCAAATCGGAAACTTTTTTATAAAACGAACCTTTAAAATAATATTAACATGAAACCCTTTAACGATTGCCATATTTTTTAAAATTAAATTTACGGTTCCTTTATTTTTCGAACCATTTAATATTTTAGGAAATATCCGAATGTTTATGCCAAAAATCGGAATTATATTGATACTAGCCTTAATCGTTGCTTTATTCTTAAAGGGCTTAAAGCTATTTGGAATAATTAATTTTTTGTTATTAATTAAATACGTAACATTATAGTTATTTAGAAAAATGTTGTTTATTAAAGGATAATGCCTTTATTTAATCGTAAAGAAATATTTATAGGAATTAATAAAAAGCATAGGATTTAATAAAGCAGCGATTACGCTTTTTTAGGGGCCATTTAACGATTTTTTCGCCTACGTTTTGAAGCCATTAGGCTTAAAAAAAAAGCTTTATTCGGAATTCTTTATTTTTTTGCATAAACTTTCCTATTAAGGAAATTTATAACGATTTTTAATACCCTTAAATTCCCCGTTTTTTTTTTATAATAGCGATTAACGTAAGTATTAGTTATAACGTAATTAAGAAACATGCATTTCTTTAAAAGCCAGCCGTGTTTTTTTGTAATTCCCGGTTTTACTTAGGCTTTATCGGATTTATAAGGGCAAATCGAAATAACGTCGGTTTTTTAATTAAAAAATCCTTTAATTTTATTAAAGATATTACTTCTTAAGGTTATAAACTAGCCGATTCCTTTTCGTATAAGGTTAAAGATCTAATTTTCGAATAAGGCAAAAAAAAAACTAGCGTATTGCTTAAACGTAAAAATAAATAAACCCTTTTTATTATTAACGATTAAATTATCGTACTTCTATTAAGCTTAAATGGTTATAAAGCGCTTTTTTACTGCAATTAGGAAATCCTTTATGGCGAATATATTTTGGATTTTAAGGAACTTATACGTATTAGCTTCGATATAAGCGAATTGCTAATTTTTAAATTACTTTTCGGACTTTATTTGGCAATTATTTATACGTATAAGCATAATTCGATATCGCTTTTTAATGGTTAACTGAATTGTGGCTTCGAATAGGACATATTTCTTTTTTAATTACTTAACGAACGCCTAAATGGTATTGGGTTACTTTTCTAAAAGGATTCGAAGCATGTACAGCTTAAATATATCTTTATTTATAATTTTAATAATTTAATTATTAATTATAATAAAGGAAGCGTTACGTTCGAATCGGTACGTTCGGTCGAAAATGCTTTGTTTAATGCTAATGTCGTAAATTTTCTTAAATTCGTTATTTTTAAGAAGGGCATTTTTTAAAGTGGATTTCGGGATTTTATTTTTTATATCGTCGTTTAAATGGTTCCAAGCGTATAATCGAAAATCGATAAGCTCTTATATTTTTTAAGTCCTGCGCTTTTTAAAAGCAAAGAAAGTTTCGAGCTTTTCGTTTTTAATAAAAAGATCGAATACGTTTAGGCCGTTTAGATTAACGTATTTCCAAATATTACGAACGCCAGCGTAAAATTACAAAAAAACGAATTATTTAAAATAAGTCTTTTAATCGGATATAAAGGCATTAATCTTAATGGGATCTTTTTTATTTGCAAAAACAAAGGTCATTTTAAACGAACTTGGAATATACGTAAAGTAAAGCGAATATAAAGCAGGGAAAAAATAATAAGATAATCGTTATTAAAATATAAAAGATAAATCTTTAAATGGTTATTTAATTTTCGCGATTAACCTAAAGTATCGGGCTTATAACTGTCGCATTTAAAAAATCACAGATAGGGAAGAATTTGGATATAAATTTAATCATATAAAAGAAAAAAAGCAATCTTTAGTTTAAAAAGCAAAAAAGCTCTTTATATATAATATGCCAAGCCATTAAGTGCAGATTACCTGGTTATGTAATCCAAGCTTTCCTATATAGCCCCTATATCGCGATATGCATTGTTAGATATGTCATTTTAATAAACCCATAGGTATTCGAAGAAGGGTGCTGGCAGAGAAATAACCATGAACATATGCTCATGCAATATGTCGGATCGCATTCATCAATAGACATATGCGGCCTGGCTCAGAATGGCTTAGGCCATTGGTTGTTTTGTAAGCAGGGTCTAAATAGGCCAGTACGACTAGCATGTTGACTTTCATGGAGTGGCCGAACCTTGATTGACAACGTAATAGTACAACATAGGTTCTGGGATAACAGACTGCGCTGTATATACTCACCAGGTGCTGAAGCACTACAGATACTGACAAAATCGACAAAAAGAAATGACCACCCTGGGGCTCGAACCCAGAATCTCCCGATAGCTCAGTATGCATCAGCGCTGCTAAGAGAAGCAGAGCAGAATATATATACCTCGTAGTCGGACGCCTTACCATTGGGCCAAGCGGCCCCCTTTAGTCTGGCTCCCGAGACTCCTTGCTCAGAAGGTGTCGACTGAGAGCCAGGCTACTGAATTGTTGAGAGAAAATTTTATTTCGCATATTAAACGAAGGTAGCAGCCCGAAGCCAGCGGACACCTCTCACTCTTCTTTTGTACTGGAGTATCCACCGACTTTGGCCGCTATCTTTCAACCGTCTGTTAGTTGTATAGATGGTGCAGCCCTACCCGTGCCGCCGTGCCTAGTGGGCGATAAAGCAGATAAGTTAGGTTGACTATTTCGTGGTCAGTGCACTCTAGATAGCTGCTCAGCTCATACTTGAGCAGAGCTCGAATTGCAGGTAGTTCATTAAAGATCTTAGATCAGGATGATTATCTTTAGATAAGAGCTTACGAGATGGGTAAAGATCAATGTTCGTTTGGCGCAGTGCTCGAAGTAAAGTGTCTGAGCTTCGGGGTCCGGAGTTATGGGACAGTTATTAGGTAAGGGGTAGGGGTCGGAAGAAACTAGATAGAATAAGTCTCGAAGCTAGGTATAAAAGCTATACTATGTAAGGGAAGAGGCCGGCTCTTATATAGCCGTAAAAGCCAAGCCCCTGCTAGTGCATGCTTTTGCTTATCACATCGCGATAATCATGTTCATAAGAAAGGGGCTTGATTACGATTATATCGGCGATGAACTAGCATATGGTAATGCCACCACCACCACCCAATTGAATGCACGAAGTTATCGTGAGTACACTCCAATTAATTCAGCTCTTCATTCACCAGGTTGGGTGCATTTCGTCTGTTTGCAAGATATAAACTGCGCCTGTCTGCTCCATCCATCACTATTACTATCACTGAAACTCCCCTGTTAAGCGTTGGAAAGCATCTCACTGCTTAGCAACGGACTACTCGAGAACTGGAACGAGGGCGCCGGCGTTAAATTTGCATAAGGTCGCCTTTATAGAGCTATGCAAGGACAACGAGATAGCCCGGCGTAAGGGCGGTGGGAGAGGAAGTTGGGGACACGGAAGCAACAACAGGTTATAGAAGTAACAATAATTGGATGGAAAGGTATTGGAATTGGTGTGTACGGTACTCGTTTGTTACTCTGAGAGGCATGTAGTAGCTCGAAGACAATGGCAACAACCAATAGACTGACATTGCCATCGTCACTCGTTCAAACAGTTCATCACATCATGGTACAAGTCAGGGGCTTTATTGGGAAACATTCGGAGATAGAGGGCTAGGATCAGCTCCATCGGAGCGGTATCGTAGTAACTTCTATCCGAAGATCCCTTCTATACTTCAATCGCTCCTCTGGCTCTTACCCAGGAAGCTCGTATCTATTCGGACAATTATTGCTGTCTTGTGTATGGCTCATCAGCTCAAAAGTATTACACAACATGCCATTCCTCGAATCTCATCGCCCATTCTCTCATTCCCATTCGGAGCGTGGCTGGCAAGGAAGAATCCGAGGCCACTACCGAACCCATCAGCCAGTTGATGGACGTTAATAAATGAATTAGAAGGTTCTGTGGGTTTAGTTGCATTCTTTCCAGCCTGCTATCGGCTATTGGTGGATGTACGCCTAGTTTTCCATATGATATATCATACTAGATAGTTACACTCGGGCTAGTGGAGGGCTATCGATCATATCATATACTGAGCAGAGTCGTAGTGGCCTTTTTATATGGGCATTGTGTTCAATGGTTGCGCTGGGCGGCTGATACCAAGAAGGTCTTTCATGCTATTCGCCATGGCTGCCACGATTCTCAGTGGACACTACTCGAGAAAGCTGTGAGAAGGTGTCGTCATGATAACATCACATCAGCCCCGGTAGCCTCAGGCTTCATTGGACATTGTTCTCTCTATCCCCCGGGGGTGGAGGGGAATCTTGGAAACGCTAAAATGCATCTGCCGGCATTCGAGGCAGGATCGATAAGCAGCGACTTGGACGGAGATAACGAGATGCAGCTACTGCCTTGGTTTGTATTTTCTGTGGCCGTAGGCCTCGACCTTCCATTCCTCCACATGGCGGCCCGGGCCGTTGGTGTTGTCTCTGACATACCAGGTGTGATTGGGCGAAGATTGAGATGAGGCGGCTGGGCTAGTACCTAACTAGGAAGGAGGGTGAAATAGTAGGCAGTGAGGTTGAGTATGATTGGCTTTTATCTAGGAAGATTAAAGATTCCACAACAAAGCTGAACCACGCAACTCCAAGCCTTGTGACATTTACATCTTGAGTACGTAGTACGAGGGTAGATGATATACATGAAGGGCGCCGTGGAACGAGTGTCCTCTCCCCTTCACCCCTAAGGGTGTCACCAGAATCTGATAGGTCGATTGCAGTTCATTGGCATTCATCGTAGGCGTTTTATCTGGGATTCAACTCTCTGTTGGAAAACAAACCGAAAGCAACCCCTATCTCTGGGTTGGCAGGACTTTCATTTGAAGCAGCACTGAAACACCCCGAGGCGCAACTCTAGCCCTACTCGTTTTCTACTCTGTATATGAAAAAGTTCATATATGCAGTGTTACGTAAATGGTCAGTGCGGACAAATGTCCTTGGAAACGCTAGATCAACTTCGAAAACAAGATAACAACACTTGAGTACTGCGTATCTTTGCTCACACAAGTGATAAGAATCAAAGTAGTGTTCCAAATTTGCAAGGCGTTCGTATCCGGGTTTACGTTCGAGTCTTGTATTAACCCTACCATTTGTGCAACAGTCCGCTGTCACCCACGTGTAACCAACTGCCATTTGAAGCACGCCATGAAGCTCGGGGACACAGAACGATGTTTATTACTATATAGGTGCCTACATCTCAGCAAGGAAACAAATAAGACATAATCAACCGCTAAGTTCTACCCGACATGCACGTGTAATGACAACATCGAAGATAGTTTGTACGATGTGACGAGGAAGCGTGCAGTCATATCTGTAACGCCCCTATCCCGGGCTCAAGATATCTTTCCGACTTGCAGCTACTTTAATGTGACACCGGGAATATGAAAATGGTTTATACAATGTAGGAGCGAGCAATCATATGCTGTCTTCTACAGAGACTGCGCGGATCAAGTTATGCGGAAACTTGATACCAAGGTTGTGGCTCAGGCTGACTGTTGAAGGTAAACTTTCTATCAGCTGTCAGATCTCAGACATTTGGGTGGTTTAATTAGTCTATAGTCTACTGTTCTTTGGACACCTATGAAAAGTCTGCGATTCTTCATTGAATCACACATAGGGGGTCGCCCTATGCTACGAAGCAACCAAGGGCAACGTTGCAAACAGGCATGATAATTCCAACAAGGAATGCTCGGTATCATGGCTATGTCGGGTTGGCCCCCTTCGCCCGCGGAGACCCAATTGTAGATGTTGCAGTCAGAAGCTTAAGAGCCTATATCACAGAGCCGCGCACGGAATAATACAAACCATTCGATGCTAATCATCGCCGCGTGGGAGCGCAACCTCCCAAGATAGTAAGCTCAAGCGGATTTTGCCAGCCCGAATGTCAACGTTCCACCTAATACACGACCAATCGAGAGTGATTATAGCGTTGTTATACATCAATGCTAACTGCTTAATCATCGTGCCATGGTAAATCGCAAATCCCCATCCCCACCCAGTAGTGCACAAGGATACCACATATGACCTTGCTCGAACAGGTATAATGAGTCGCATTATAGCACTATCAGTCACTTACTAACGTAAGAAACTTATTACGGTATTGTGCAGTGTACGGCCAGAATCATATACCATCATATTTCCACATATGCTAGTACTTCCGCGCAAGTTTCACCTTAGGTAAGACATTGTTATGTGAAGAGAATCTTTTGAAGGCAGCAGTTTGATACATCCAGATCGACATCTGGTAGTTGGTAATTAAGTTCCAAAAACCTGATAATTTGTAGCGGGTTTCAACGACATGCAGTACAACATGAAAAGAAGCAAGCCATTAGTAACCTATCCAATCACTCGGGACTGATCTGAGCTGAAGAAACACTATATTAGTAGACGGCGCCAAGCTTAGTACAATATCGTAATGCAATCGAAGCCCAGCGGGGGACAGTTCCGGGCTTTCCGTTGGCTAGTACATAATACTTTGTCCAGAGTCGATCGACTATCGATATTTCCAATTCTATTCAGTCACAGTCGTTTCTGTTTGTTTCTCCGGCTTCCTTCCTATATCATGCTGGAGACGGCAACCGAGTATGAAATGTAGAGCTGAGCTTGAGGGGGCGCGTAGCCTTCGTTCGATTCCTGGGGCTGATACTCATGGAGTATATGCATGCAGGTACGGATCAACCCTGTTTCTGAACCGCCTCTGCCACCTACACGAGCGTTGGAAAAAGAACAGTTGCATCGACACGTCGTATTGCGAACTGCGCATAGCAATCTAAATATATACGACTGTCCATCATGTTTGGTTACAAACTGCAATGAAACTCAATACCAGAATACTTGATTAGTGATCCGTTCAGTATTTATCGTACGTTCACCCAGTCGGAATTTGTTTAGGTAGTTACTAGGTAAGTTAGTCAATAATTGGCAGTGCAGTACTTCGTAAAGACACGCTGAACGATGATCCATCTGGGAACTCAGGGGACAGCTGCTTTCCTATCCAACATATGACAGCAACCCTAGTAGAGTTACTACTCTAATAGGCTGACCGGTCTCTCAACACCTCATATATCGAAAGGTGATAGGCTTGCCTAGCCTATGACATCCTGCAACGCTACGACCTAGATAATTATCAATATTTTCTCTCTATCTACGAACAACACTCCAATACGTCAATCCCGCTCTGAACCCTGCAAGAGGTAGGCTTGTCCACAGCTGATAAACCGGCTTGGGCTAATGACGAGGCTCTGTCCACACCATCTGCCAGATCGTGGCTTTACGGGCCACCAACCTTCCATTGGCTGGGGCCGCTGGGCACTTCAGGACGCTTCAGGATATACACTCCCAATGGCAATTTCACATGGTAGTCTTGATCCTGCATACTTAGATGCTATGTAGCGTG